TATAGGCTTACAGAGCAAGATACGTTCTCCAGGGGCAGCAAACGGGCCCCCATTGCCAAGACAAGGAAAAGGCAAGGAGGTGCTGTGTTTTGGTTTTAATTTTCAGATTCTATAGGCATTTGGGGCAATAATGGGAGAGAGTTCAGTGGGGGTGGCTCACATGGAATGCTGGCCCAGGGCAGCGTGTGACCCTCTCTGGAGCTGAGCACCTAATGCTGCAGGGCACCTCAGAGAGGATCCCTCCAGGAGAAGTCTCAGGCCAGGGGACACTTGCTGGGGATGGTGAGCGTGAACAGGAGGTCACCAAGGAGGAAGGGACATTCATGGATGGGAGGTAGATGGGGTGGGGGGATGCTCAGCCCCTTCCAGAGCAAGGCTCAGAGAGGACACAGCAAACACCAGTGTGGGGGCAGAGAGTGTGGAGGTGGGTGTGGAGCCTGGGTGTCCAGCAGGGACGATGCCCAGGGCCCTGGGGCTGTTCCTCCTTCATGTGAGGGGGAGATGCTGACCCTTGGCTGTGCCTGTCCATTATACACTCAGTTCCAAGACAGAAGCTCTAGGAGAACTTGGGACACGGACTAGGCAGGAAACTTCCTGGGCAGCTGGAGGAAAATGATGGCAGAGCAAACAGGAAAGGGGTGGAGTGGCCTGTGTCCCTGTGGTGGGACACGGGACAGTAGACCAAAGCCCAGGCTGGCAAAGAGGAGGAGATGGTCCGGAGTGTCCAGAGAGGTGTTGATGCTGCAGCTGACACAGGAAAGGCCTGGAGGGAGAGCCAGGCTGAGGGCTGCAGTGGGGTTGGTTGTACACTGTGACCACGGTGGGACAGTGAAGGAATAGGTCGGCACAATTCTGAAACAATCAAGGCCACAGCAACTCATTTCCTTTCCTATAGATAATGTGGGTATTAAAATAATCATCTCAAATTACCCGGACCTGGTGGTGGGCACCAGTAGTCACAGCTACTTGGGAGGAAGAGGCAAGAGGATCGCTTGAGCCTGAGGGCTTGAGGTTGCTATGAGCTGTGATGCCACGGCACTTTATCAAGGACAACATGGCGAGACTGCCTCAAAAAAATAAAATCATCTCAGACGTAACTGGGGTGAATTAATCATTCATTCTTTACACAAATATTCAGGAAGGCCTGGCACATGTTAAATGCCAGGGTTGGAACCGTTTAGGGACAAGGCCCAGATCCCTGGAGCAGGAGGATCCAGCACTGAAGAAGGATGGAGATGGTTCCAGAGGATGCCCAGGCCAGACGACTTCAGTGTGACCCCAGAAAAGTGGGCTGCGAGGAGTCACGACCTCCACAGACCCCCAGCCCCCAGCAGACAGCTCAGTAGAGGGGTGTCTCAGTGGGTGCAGGGCCTGTGGGTGCCAAAGGCTCCAAAGCCCTGAGACATCTCTGCTTTGAGTTCACATGGGCTCCAGTGAAGGAGCAGGCAGGGGAGGAAGACACAGCCCTGTCCTGAGGGTGGACAAAGCAGCAGAGGCAGGTGCCCCTGAGACCTCCCTGCGGGAGAAGCTGCAGGGAGCAGCACAGGTGGTCTGAGTCCCGCCCTGCCCATCCATCCCCTCTCCTTTCACAGGTCGGGTCTCTGGCCTGAAGCCCCCGCCTCTGCCAACTCCTTGCCCTTTTGTCTCTCACCTGTGCCCCTCCTCTCACAGAATAAATCCCTGTCTAGTCCCTCACTGTCACCTGCTTCTCACAGGCTTCAAACTCAAAATATTGTCATTTGCAGAGAAACCTCATCCGCAACTCTGTGAGAAACAGTCTTGTTTCATTATAGCCTCGTTCCCAGTGCTGGCGAAGGCTTCCCTGGATCCAGGGGGACGTCAGGGACCCTTAGCCCTGGAGCTCACCTGAATCTCAGGAAATACCAGGGAGGCTCCCTGGCTCCTCCTGTTTCCAATAAGAGTCACAGAGACACTGCTGGGGGGAATGCAAACTAATACGTCCCTGGTGGAAAGTCATATGGAGAACACTTAGAGATCTAAATATAGATCTGCCATTTGATCCTATAATTCCTCTGCTAGGTATACATCGAGAAGACCAAAAATCATGCTACAATACAGATATCTGTACCAGAATGTTCATTGCAGCCCAATTCACAATCGCTAAGTCATGGAAGAAGCCCAAGTGCCCATCAACCCATAAATGGATCAATAAATTGTGGTATATGTACACCATGGAAT